ATAAGTTTAATAACATTATCATTAAACGAAGAAAGAAAAATCGCAATATTGATCCATATTTTTAATCCAATCTAAGCTTTCGGCTTACATAAGCCATTATCAAAGATGACAATTACTGTACCATATATTAAGCAATACACGGACAAGAATGTGATGATAGTCTGTTTCTCTTTACATGGATGATTTCCAAGCAACGACAAACCCGTGCATATAAGACGCTGGAAGCGAAAATCGTACCGCAGCTCATGACGTCACACATGACCACTCGAGAGTGAATTCGAGAAGTATTAAGTATGGGAAGCCGTTGGTATAAACCAATGGCTTCCGTTACCAATTATAGACATTAAGGATATCCTTAGATTGGATTAAAAAATGTGGATCAATATTGTGATTTTCTTTCTTCGTTTAATGATAATGTTATTAAGCTTATCAGACGTTATGAAAAGAATTTACATAAAATAAATAGACAACACCTGTCTATATTATTTAATGAAACATGTATGAATATATATATATATATATATATATATATATATATATATATATATATATATGTATGTATGTATGTATGAATAAAAGTCAAGAAAACTTTTAGATGACTCGTTTCGTCCTCTGAGAGACCTTATCAAGGAAATGTAAGATTTATTTTGTTGTACGTTTTTCTATACAAAGGCGATGATGTCATTAGTTTATCAACAACTGAGAACGTTGAAGAACTTATTTTAAAATAAATATTGCTTAGATATTTAAAAAAAAATCTTGAATATTACTCCCTTACTTTACTTTCTGCTAGACTTTGAATTATGACACTTTGTTCTTTCACATACTTTGACTGACCTTTCAACCACCTGATGAACTTTCTGAAACATTCTCTAATTTTGATATACCAATGACATCCTCGCCTTTGTATATAAACACGTACAACAAAATAAATCCGACATTACTTTGATAAAGTCCCTCAGAGGACGAAACGAGACGTCGACTGCGAAGAGATTGTCCTCTTGCCTTTTTTACTCATTTTATTTCATCTTCAGATACACTCCATATCTTGAAAATTACTAAGTCTAGCTCAATGAAATTAAAAAGTTTGGGTGTTGAATATCATAAGTTTATTATGAGACCGATTTCATAAGTGTTAAATATGTGCACCGACTGTGACACGGCACACGTCAAGTCGGTAGTTAGGTTTTTGCCAAACACGCTGTAGCATGTCTCCGGTAACATTATCCAATGCGAAAGGGATTCTCTGTTTGAGAGTATCAATGCTAGCAGGAAGCGGAGGGACATAGAACAATCTCTTGTCATATCCCCATAAAAAGAAGTCACACGGGGACAGGTTCGGTGACCGCGGCGGCCATTTCATTAGAAAACTCTCTTGATAGCCACCACGCCAGATACATCTCTCTGGCAGATTCTCATTGAGATAAGCACGTACTGTCCTCTTCATTTAAATATATGTTACTATATATTCTGTGGAAATCTGAAGTTATTTCAACAAGAATTGCTAAAATTATTGGCCTGCGAAATGAGGTCAAATTTTTGGGGACACCCTTTATATATATATATATATATATATATATATAATATATATATATATATATATATATAAAAATTTGGTTTTTCCAGGAAACATCTGACTGTTCAAAGAATACATTAAAAGTATCTAGTAACGCATTTTCTTGAACACTGACGAACTATGGCATCGCTGTGTTATCAAGTACTTGCAGGATAAGGGTTTAACCAGCAAGGACATTCATGTTGACATGGTTACTACATTAGGTGAAGACACTCCAGCTTTAACAACAGTGCAAAAGTGGGTAGCTGAATTTAGAAGGGAGAGGCTTGAATATGGCCGACAGTCTGGGCGTCCTGAAACTGAGACCACTAAGGAAAACATTCACCATATGTCGTTAGATGACACACGATTGATTATAAATCAAATAGCCAATACTATTAGCATATGTCGTGAGAGAGCAGGGGAATATTATGCACAATGAACTTTGTTTGACGAAGGTTTCTTCTCGGTGGGTGATACGTCTTCTGATACCTGATCAAAAGCGCACCAGGCTGATCACATCACGGGAAAATCTGTCATTGATTGAGATAGATTCGGCTGATTTTTGAGAAGGTTACCTAATCCAGGATGACTTTTGGGTTCAATAGACAAAGAGATAATCCAATGTCGTTTAATTCTTCAGGAAAGTTGATGGCCTCAGTGTTTCGGGACTACCCTAAAAAAGGCCACACCTTCAATGGAGAGTAGTATGTCAACTTACTGAAGCAGTCATGAAAGACTCTCAAGATGAAAAACACAGGAAATCTGACGAAAGGGTTCTTGTTTCATCAGAACAACTCCTTGGTTTCAATAGTTCATGTGTGCGTACTGGTTAATCACCGTCACTATTCTCCTGATTTGACCCCATTTAACTATCATCTGTTCCCCAACATGGAAAAAAAACCACTTAGCTGGCAATCAGTATTGCAGTAATGATGACGTCATATCTGCTGTGGATGACTTTTTTGACCAACAGGGTGAAAGCTTCATCACCAATAAGATACAAGCACAACAACACCTGTCTGGGTCACAACGGAAACTATGTTGAAAAATCACCCTCACCTCCCACATTCCATGAGAGTATCTTGGTCAGCCTATGAACATTTCAGCCGACACTGGATTATGTCTACACAAGCTACAGAGAAGAGATGAATTCATAACTTTCTCAATGATATTTGAGCGTAAGTGAATGCAACGATCCGACTGGATTTCGCTATCACTTTAAACCATCTGCGTATCCACTTGTATGCACTAACTTACAAACCTGTGTAAACATATATAAAGAGACTCAATAACGAAAATTTAAGAAGATTAATGTCAAAATTTTATATCAAAAGAATTTTTGACGAATGACTGAGGTAATCATGTTAGATATTTAAAACTAAATCATTTTTTGCCATCATTTAATACTCTCTGACATTAGACGTCAAATCAAATTGATATTAGCAATGGTGGAAGGCGATAAGTTTCTCAAAATTAAGAGTCTTCCCTCGGAGAATATACATTATTTACTTTTAAAACGAAAAGTTTTGAAAGTTTTAGCGTGCATATACATATATATTTTTCCTTTGTTAGTTCATCATATTGGTTGGTTTTTATCGCATCTCTCAAATCATCATTCTTTGGTGTTATTAAGTAAGGTGAATATGAACTAAGGAATAAACTTCTGGCAAGGTTCAAACTTGTATCCGTTACATAGAGAAGGTCACTCTTAATGCCACGGAAACTCAGGTGATTGAGCGACACACGCTACCAGCGGTACTTCTTCAAATAAAACTTAAAATAATAAACAAATAAAATACAGGGTTCAGCTCAAAATTCTATTCACCTGAAGAAGGCCGGAGCGTACAACGATTGAAATGTCGTGAATATGCCAATAAAGTCCGAACAATGTAAATAATGGATTTTGCGTCAACACTTCTGGTGTCATAGCAAATGATGGTGTTGATTTTCATGACACATGGAACATGTTTTCAAGTCAAAACCATCACTTGACAGGACACCAGAAGTGTTGAAACTAAATGGCTATTTTTGTAGTGTTGTTAAAACATACTTATGTTATAATTTTTAATAGATATTATTGTATATATATATATATATATATATATATATATATATATATATATATATATATATATATACATTTATCCACAGACGGATTGTTTCGCTGTATTACAGTTTCTTAGTGAGGCTAGACGTACGATTGCTTCCAGCCAGGATCGAAATGCGACTGCTTTGACATCAGTCAGATATATTGCCTCTAGGCCATAAGGAAGGGGATTTTAACTTTTTTCTCTATACGAAATATGACAGCGGCTTGGAGAAGTCATTTCATACTTGAAGAGTAATGCTTAATAGCAGTAGAAGCAATATATATATATATATATATATATATATATATATATATATATATATATATATATATACCTCAGGGGGTGGGGGTTACAAAGAGTGAAGGTGAAATAAAAGACTGGTTATATGGGATGGGGTTGAGGAAAGTATAAAAAAATGAACGTGGATCAAGGCACTAGGATTGTTGTTAACCCTAACCCTAACCCTCGCCAGGAAGCGAACCACGAAAAGGAGATACCAAAATCAGCCGGGAAATTTTAAATTTCACAGTAGAAGATGGAAGAATATAATACCTAAATCTGAAGGTGTATTTGAATAGCCAAAGCTAAGCAAAGTATTAATAAATAGGAAAATTTCGTTAGAAACAAAGAAAAGACTTCTGAGGTGCCTTAAATTATAAGCTACCCTGTATGGCACTGAATGCAGCACAATATTCTCACAGACGAAGAGGGGAATTTATAAATGCCATTGCGGTTGGAATTTGAAGAAGTTATGGTTCTGCAGAAGGATACTGAGAATACAATGGAAACAGTATATGAATGGGGTAATTTAAGGAAAATACAAACAAAAAACAAAACGTTTATATTTAGATTCAAAAAGAGGTAGTTGAAACTTTTCGAACATACAATGAGGAAAGAAGGTTTGAAGAATTTGACAAGCGATTGACATATTGAAAGCAAAGGGGACATATAGAAACAATGAATAAATTCCTTTCCTTGCGGAACAAAGAATAAGAAGTATAGTAAAAAGACAAGCATTGCTAAGAGCTAAAAAGGGTAGGAAGTTGTAGAGAGTCATGATCACGACTAGAAGGGACATATACAAAGAAGAAAAAACCTTTTTTTATAAAATAACATGATCTAAAATATTTGTTTATCCGGTTACATTAGAGAAAATAGATCAATGTATCCTCTGAGATAACTCCAACGAGGTTGTAGATTAGAGTTGAATGGATACAAAATCCTTCATAGAAGGACTGGTAGCTTCCCTTGAATACATTCCTTGTAGTGACAGTGAGTGTATCGAGCACGCCTACTTTCAAAGCAGGGTCGTACGCCAGCTGTGAAGGCGCGTTGACGAGAACATTGTCCGTATGATTCGGGAACAGTTTTTTCTGTTTCTTAGAAATCGGTTCTCTCTCTCTCTCTCTGTCTGTCTGACATCCTGCTCTCGCCATTCCACACAGAAGAAGTATTAATTTTGCAAATCTTAGTCGTCATGCGAATGGCGACTCAGGTGACGCGAATGAAGGATGTCTACGGAGATGTCTCTTTCTTCTCACCCACAAGTCATAATTCTTCACGCGTCGGAAAAAAGATATATATATATATATATATATATATATATATATATATATATATATATATATATATTAGGTTGGTGCAAAAATAATGACGTAATAATGTCGTTTTTGGACGTATTTTTAACGTCAAAAACGACATCATTACGTCATTATTTTTGCACCAACCTAATATATATATATATATATATATATATATATATATAGAGAGAGAGAGAGAGAGAGAGAGAGAGAGAGACAGACAGACAGACAGACAGACAGACAAAGAGAAAGTGACAGGGAAATAGTGAGAAAGTGAGTGTTTGTATGTGTGCGTGTGTCTTGGTTGGAATTTAGCGAAAGTTTGGTGAATATAGCAGAATGGGGTCAAGATGGAGTGGCATCTTAGAGTGACTGGTTAGGGATTTTGCTTCTTTATCTATCCCAATGCGTTAGTTGTTTTTTACATCAAAGATAAAGAGAGAAAAGTCGCAAGTAACCTGCTTGACGAGTTAGTGCAAGTGAATGGAGGAACATGTCCCATGAGTCTGGAATTAATCTCTTGTTCAGAAGAAAAGAAAGCTGTGGAGATTCATGATTACCCGTTTCTGAACGAACATGGCAACCGTGCTCTAATGCGACCAAGACAATTGCGTATATCTGGCCTCACCACCGGTCGATGTTCGAGTCCGTGTAAAAACCAAATTTATTTATGCTAATTTTCAAATCAGATGAGATCCACACAGCGTTATACTATCATTTTTCTTTTAATTTAATTTAATCTAAGCATGATTAAATATACCTAAGCATTAACCCTTTGACCCCAGCGTTCCTGAGTCAGAATTCATCAATATTTGGTATATAATGTTTCACGGTAGATATAAAAATAGTTACAAGTGTTTTCCAACGTTCAATCCGTGGCTGAGCATTACGCCATTTTTCTCTACCGCTGTTCAAACGGTGGCTGGGCATTATATCATTTTTCTCTTCCACTGTTCAACCGGTGACTGGGCATTACGTCATTTTTCTCTAGCACCGGTAAAGCGGTGTTCAGGGCTCAAAAATTTATGCAGTATGAGCGATAAAATCAACATCTGAATAATAAATTCAATACTTACACTTCTTGATTGACACAGAAAGAATAACTGAATAATGGAAGGTTTCATCATCATTATCATTAGTCCCTTGACCAGGTATGGCTGTAGAGACGCTCCGAAACTGAACACCTGACCTTCTTCCTCTATATATTTCACTTGTTTGTAAATATCTAGATTGAAGGTTGCAAAAGGATCCATTCATGCTTAACGTATCTTGGTCAAGTAGTTCAGCCGGACGCCATCCCAGCGCAGGTCAGATAAATTAAAAACCCAGAAATTTGTTCAAAATCAAGGCCATTCCTTAATGACAAAATCTAAACGGAATTTAGTAAGCTAAAAATTATTAACCTCTGTTTTGTTGGATTTAAAGACGATATCACGTAGAACCTAAACAAATTATTATTACGTAACTCAACAGTTTGCAAATGCCTTGGATGCGATGATAAAATTTCGATGGGATGTGTGGTGGAGTCGTACAATAAGCTTTGAGACCAGAAATAATCATTTTTCTATTCAAGTTTTCTTTTCATATTATTATAGATTAAACACTGCTGTTAAGGAGTATTAAAAATAACTTTTATAAAAGTTAATAATGGGGTACCGTTTGATAAGTAAATTCATTATACATTGGTACCAACTACGAATGGCAAAACAAAATATGCTCATACAACATGATTTCTTAAAATTAAAAAAAAATAAAAATAAATTCGTAATCTGATGTGTTTAATTGATTAAAAAAACGCTAGGTTTCCAAATTCGATTTTATTTTTAAATATTAAATCCTCTTGTATGAACATGTATTTTGTCTTCAGAAGAGGAACAATGAATTTATGTAGTTTCTATCAAGCTTTATAAAATTTAATTAAAAAAAGTTTTGTGATCTGGAGTAGATCTATAGCAATATTTTTATATACTCAAAAGAAGATTATATTATTTCTGGATGCGGTGCTGCTTCAGCAACTTAACCACACAGGCTGCTGTTTCCTTTAGCATTCAACGAAAATATTGATTTATAAGATGCGCTTTCTAAAGAGTAGGAGACTAACATAATGATGTTGTGTAAAAGAACAGGTTACATACACTGTTGTGTAGTTGGTCTAATTTGTGCTAAGTTTTCTGTTACCTAAATGCCCAAAAGATCAAAAGCTGTTCTCTTTTCTTGACGTTCAAAGAAATATCAAACGATCAACCTGTGTAAAAACCGTGTCTAATTTTTCAAATGATTCATTAAATCCGACAAATTGAATCCACTTGTGGATAGATTGACAGTCTTGAAACTTTGAATGAGTGTTCAACAAGATAATCTGTTCCGTATAGATCCCAGAGGATATCTGATCCATTCTTTAATTCCAATTAACAATATGCCCCACCACTAACCGCTTCGTTACATTCCAGGTTTTAACTAATCCTTTTCCTTCCTCTTTTATCATTTGCCATTATTATATCTTTTTCTATCGATCAGTTGTCTTTTTCAGTCGGCATATATTCTTTTTATTTAATTCTGCCCTCTTTCTTTTTGTTCAATTTATTCGTTTGTTCTTTCTTTCTTTCTTTCTTTCTTTCTTTCTTTCTTTCTTTCTTTTACTTTCTTTCTTTGCATCTGTTTTCTTACACGTTCTTTCTTCTTTCTTACGCTTTCAGTGTATCTTACTTTATTTTCCAATTTTTTTTTGTTTCTTTCTTTTGTCTTGCTCGTTGTTTTCGATTTTCTTTCCGTCTTTTTTCTTTCTTTTATACACTTTATTTATTTCTGTCGTCTTTCTTTTAGTTCACTTTCTTTCTTTCTTTCTTTCTTTCTTTCTTTCTTTCTTTCTTTCACCTTATTTCTTTACGTCGTTGTCTTTCCTACGCGTTTTTTCTTTTCTTACGCTTTCTTTGTTTTTTTTCTTTATTTTTCTTTATATCTTTCTTTGTTTCTTTTGTCTTACACTGATTTTTGTTTCTTATTTCTGTCGTTCTTTCTTTCTTTAATTATTACGTCTTCATTTTTTTTCACTTTGTTTCTTTCGTTCTTTCTTTCTCTCACTTCATTTCTTTGTATCTTTCTTCCTCCTTTCACTTTCTTTGTCTCTTCCGTTATTTTCTTTCTTTCTTTCTTTCTTTCTTTCTTTCTTTCTTTCTTTCTTTTTTGCCTTTCTCTGTCCCCTGTAAACATTTAAAGGACACTGAATGGTTTCAGACAGCAAGCCATTTAAACTCTATTCACTAATTCCGACAGGAAAACTTTACTTCCGTTGGGTCACACGAAAGTGCGGATCAAGTAGACATGTTTTTCAATACGAACATACGAGAAACAGAAATACTTTTTTGAAAGAGTGACTAACACGAAAGTCGGGAAATAAAAAAATCTTCTAAAAGCTTTATTTACTTTCATGAAGAGATCATTATTTTTAAAAGAAGAAGTCAGTAATGCTTTATTAACTAAAAAACTGTACATAGATTTTGGAAAGCAAGTAGAACACAGTCCTTTCACAGCGAAATAAATTCTATACACCGGAGTAACGATGTGTAAGAGTTAAAACAAGGGAGGTCATCAATAAGTAGAAATTAAGATATAATTCTCAACAATTAAAAATTCATAAAACCGATAAGAAAGTCACGTCTTATAAACAATACATGAACATAGCTTTGCGATTTCAGGATCAACAAGTCGGTGATACTGCTCATTAATGCAAATCATAAAATTAATGTTGATTTATATCGATTGAAATTAGAATGAGATAAGAAGAAACATTAGAAAAAGTATATATATATATATATATATATATATATATATATATATATGTGTGTGTGTGTGTGTGTGTGTGTGATTGTGTGTGTGTGTGTGTGTAAAAATATATAGAAAATAGGAAAGAACTCGTTAGGTAAATAACTCTCCATAGACACTTAACCAGACTAGACGATGTCATCTTCCGCTTTAAATTTAGACATCCCAACCTTACCCTGAGTTGACGTCTTTGAATATAACTGAGATATTGATAAAATTATTAACCCTTACGCCCCTTTTCTTTAAATAATTGCTCTAGCCGTTACCATAGTAATTTTAATTTTAATAATGAATATGCTTATAAAACGCGTAAATTTCAGGAATTAGTTATTCCCCAAAAAATTTCGCTTGAAGATGGAACAGAGCTTAGTACTTTAATTCAGTTTAATTCAAATAATTATATTGAAGTTTTCGGCTCTTGTTTTGAAACATGAGAACTCTGATGTAGCGCTGGAATCATATTTTTAAATAAATAAATAGTTATATATATATATATATATATATATATATATATACAGATGTTTTATTATATATATATATTATATACAGATCTTTTATTGAGTGTGAAAAAATATGAGAAGAAATCAAATCATTATTTCGGAGATAGAACAATGAAAGAACAGGAATTAAAAGAGAGAAGATAAAGATTGAAATTGCATTTAAATTTTTGAAGATCAGAATTGACTGGAAAGCAAGAGACCGGAAGAGAGTTCTATAAGGAAGAAGCGTGAGAGAAGAAATTGTTAGCATAGAAATTGCGCTTACAACTAATCATTGAAACTCTAAAATGATGAAACCAAACTGCTAATGCTTGAATTCGTAAAGTCGTGGTACCAAAGTGGAACCACTCGCTAGAACAGTTACCATGAAAATATTTATAGAAAAGACCGAGAGAACGGCGGCAATAAAGAGATTGAAGCCTAGGTGCCAGGTCATTGCAGTTTCTTCTTTGGATTTAATCAAGAATCTATAAATACATCGTAAAAGCACCAGACCAGGTGTGACAGCAATATTAAAATGCAGGTGAGGCTGATATATTTAAAAATTTGTAAGATAGATTACAGCGAGTAAAACTGTCTGGCATGACATATTGAACGAAAATTCCTAACAACTGATTCAATAGAATTTTTCTACTTCATGTCCGCGGAAAATGTTAGCACATCCTCTTCAAGAGGTTAGCACCAGTCAGAATGATGAAAGGTAAAAAAGGTTCTCTCAGACGATTAAGTTTCGTTTCTTTTAGTTTAAGATTTCTTTTCAGACAAACGACAAATATTGTAGATCATTAATCTAATTATATATATGTTTCATTTCTTTTCGCTAAGTGTGTGTTAAAGTTACCAGAATATGTATGCAGAGGTGACAAATTGAATAAAATAGAAAAATAAAGTTACTAATATCCAAAAAGATGATTACACATGAGCGTCTTTTAATTTTTTTTTTAATTTTATGTAAGTACACAACTATTTGGTTTTGTTTCTCATCACATACCTTGAAAAAGTCAAATGACGAAACGCGACTAAGTACTATTTTCCGATTGTCTGCTTTATATATATATATATATATATATATATATATATATATATATGTGTGTGTGTGTTTATATATATATATTTATATATATACAATTTTCAGTATTTTTGCATACGTATAAGAGTCTTTATTGTGGACAAAGTGTGTAAAAACTGTCCAAATGTTCCATATGTACGATCGCATATGGCTATTGTATTAACCATTATAAATGATATTTTATATATATATATATATATATATAATATTTAACGTGTGTAGCATGTAGTAGTATTCTTATAAAAGAGGGATTACTTCCTAAATACACAATTATATATATATATATATATATATATATATATATATATATATATATTAAGCCACAATTTGTTTCAATAAAGCTTCTTTCATATGTTTCTGAACTGATTTTATTATTTGTCCAGTGATTACTGTTTGACTTTTAACTAATTTGAATTTTTGTTAAAAAAATATGAATTACTTATCAAAAATTAAATACTAAATTGACATTTAATTAGTTTTCCACTATTTTGTAGAAAAGCGATACACTGAGAAGACTGAACTAGTGGGGTCTTATCTCTATTCCTAATCGCATATATGTGACACAATGTCGGTGTTTAAAATAAGGTTTCGATCAGCAGTGTAAAAATTTACTCTAGCTCCGCTGGCTCTTCCCTTTTTAGGGTCGCCTCGACAGCTGTTTAATGATCCCAGTTTCCTCCCAAAGGAGAAGTAATGCTGCTAGAATGGCATCCTGGATCGCGACTTGATATTTATTTAGGCAGCATTCAGGCTTGTGGCTCAATAGTAATGCCCCTGTAAGATTACCTTAAAGGTTTAGTGTGTCTCGGGTGTATGTATGCCTGGTGTTTAAGTTGGGAAACACGTGTCACCTGCAATGTTCATCCCAAAACAACAATGGCGGACTTGCATTTGTGCCCGGATTATAAAATACAAAGAAACAACTAAAACCAATATATATATATACAAGCAAACGATAATGTATTATTATCTCTCTTTCTCTTTCTCTCTCTCTCTCTCCCTCTCTCTCTCTCTCTCTCTCTCTCTCTATATATATATATATATATATATATATATATATATATATATATATATATATATATGTACATATATACAACGCAAAACCCTAAGTAGTAAAATTATCAGAATTATCTTAAGTTCTAGATGATCGAAAAAGTGCTCAATACATCAACCTTAATTAAATTATATGAACGTTTCTTTTAATAAAAGTATACATATTTGTCTGACGCACTACTACAGTTTCACCTTATTGGATCTTCAGTATGGTTTAGATCTTATGATATTAGCTAAGCCATACTGAACATTCGAATAAAACTTCAGTAACGACTGAGTTTTTATATATATATATATATATATATATATATATATATATATATATATATATATATATGTGTGTGTGTGTGTGTGTGTGTGTGTGTGTGTGTGTGTGTGTGTGTGAAAATGAAATATGTACTTTTATAAAAGATCCGTTTTATGTTCTTTTTATTTTGATTTCTTGCGCTTTCTTCAATATATTCGTTGTCGCAATCATTACAGGTAATAGAGTAAATTCCTGCTTCACGTTTTAGCGCATTATTTTGTTTTCTATTAATTGAGTTTCTTATTATTGTAGACCTAGTTGTGATAGAATTTATGTTGAATTTAGATAAATTTTTTTTTCAGTTGTATGTGTGATAAAATTGGTAGGTAGAACTTTGGTAGGTACTTTGATACGTTCTGGTTTGTCACAATGGCCCAGTGTTCTATGTTGAAATATTTTACGAGCCTTTTGTTTTGCATGGAATATAAAATATTTCTAATATTGGAGGAGCTTGAAAGTATTTTCAGTGTATTTCTCCTCTTCATGTAAATGTTGAGGACTGGAAATTATGAATGATTTTAAATAGAATACAATGATTATTCCGGATTTTATTCTGTTATTATGTTGGGAATAGAAATTTATGAAAACATTTTTATAAGTTGATTTTCTGTGAATGCTAAGTTTTTAAGCTATTGTCAATGCGGTGAATCATGATATCTATGAAATATAAAATATTCTTTATTTCGGTTTCATATGAAAATTCTTTTGTTTGTATAGTTTATCGATAAGATCAGTTTAATCTGTACCATGGGAATATATTAATAAAGCATCATCAGTATATCGAATGTATGTTGAATGTTTAGGTAATCCATTATGGAAAGGAGCAGATTCAAGAATTTCTAAGAGAATACAGGCTATCATGCCACTCATGGGCGATCCCATTGGTAATCCAAAATTTGTTCGTGAAAATGTTTGTTAAATATGAAATAACATTCATAACGATGAGATGGCAGATGATTATTATTCTAGTTATTGGTAGGGAGAAGTTTATCCTTGATTGTCTCAGATATTTTTAAAGATTTAAGCATTTACTAAATGGGGGGTTAGTGCAAAGTCAATTTCTATCTAGACTCGCTATGAGTTTGTCAGTGATATCTTTACCCTTTGTATTTCAACTAGATTGCCTGAATATATATATATATATATATATATATATATATATATATATTAAAGTATATATATATATATATAAAGTATTATATATATATATATATATTAAAGTATTATATATATATATATATATTAAAATTATATATATATATATATATATTAAAGTATTATATATATATATATTATTATATATATATATATATATATATATATATTAAAGTATATATATATATATATAAAGTATATATATATATATATTAAATATATATATATATATATATTAAAGTATTATATATATATATATATATATATTAAAATATATATATATATATATTAAAATTATATATATATATATATATATATATATATTTTTATATTTATACATATATATGTATATATATATATATATATAAAATATTATATTATAATAAGATGGCCAAAAATAATTCAAAAAGGGGTCGCCTGGAAGGACGTAAAATAAAGCATAATATTTTTTTAAATAAATCCACATTACAACCAAAACGTTTGCGGCCCTCTCTTCTCTTCTTTTCAATATACATACTTTTCTCGTTGGAACCACTATAACCTCTTTCTTATATATATATATATATATATATATATATATATATATATATATATATATATATATATATATATTAGTATCTCATATTCACTATATTTGTAGTTATATCTACTTATTATAAATCACTGCTTTCGTCATTCAATCAATCAATTTAATGGAGTAACTGCAAGGGTACATCAAACATTCAGAATCTCTTTATATCTATTATCGGCACAAATGCACACTTGCGGAAGAATACTGGTGAATAAATCGCTAAACAATTGGGAAAACGCATTTAAATTAAAAATATTCATTTCTGTTGAATATCATTCCATACGATATCGTTTGCTATTTCCTGGAATATTTCCAGCCGTTTTATGCAAGATTACACCAGCATTTCAATATCCGAGAATGATTCACAAACCTAAATATACAACTTCCCCAAATTATTTAAAAGCGCCTATCGAATGAACGACTCCCTGACGCCTCTCATCCATAGATATCAAAACGAAATGAATTGCTGTCTATGAGCCACGACCGTTCATGGTTCTTCACAACTTCTCCTTTTTCGTTCGAAGTAACATTTACCGCTTTGCCAGACGCTTTTGTCTTTGGAAATTTTGTACTTTCTCTCGTCAATTATCTCATCTTTGTTATGAAGGTGGTTCTTCCTGCTTCTCTTGCCTTGTCATTTGAGTATTAGATTCACCAAGCCTTCTTTTCTCGTTATGTGTCGCAAAAAATGTCAGTGGTTTCTCATTTCTTTTGTTGTAATTTCTATTTTTCGTCAATCTTCCTCGTTAATCATATGTTCTTTCTATGCTATTTTCAGGTATAGACGTAAGTCCGGTAAACCTCTACCTAGAGTGGCTCCTAGGTCTTGGACAGGGTGAACATAATTGGAAATTAAAAAAGAACCACATCTTAGTTTTCCCAAGTCTCTTCATCTCTATTCACTTTCATGTAGGAGATTAGATATTACACAGAAGTTAAGTTAAGCACTCGTTTCTTTTCTTTGATTCTTAATACTTTACTCATTTTCTGAAAGGCATCTTTCCGTATTTTATTACGCCTGCAGATTTCCTTATCACAATTTACTCATCCGTTCTCTACTATTCAGAGACTGAAAATGTCGCACTTGCTTGATTTTGACGCCCATCTTCGCACATCTTTTGCCTCGATGTCGGTAGATTTTGTGGAACCTAGTCTCGGTAAGCAATTTTTTTAAGCATTTCACCCCAAGCAAGGCGGGGGTGCCACTAGCACGCAGAGGGGGGGGCTGAAGTGAAAGTGAGAGAAAAGATTGGGTATAGGGGGATGAGGAAAGGATAAAAGATAACAGCGTTCTAGTCAACAGAAGATGGCGGTTGACGCTGCACTTATATTTTTGAAGATTGTAGTTATCAGGAAGAAAGTAAGAGGAAGGGAGTTTCACAGTCGGGAAGTGCGAGAAAGAAACTGTTGAGGCAGTTACATTTAATTATTTCAATAGTAAAAGAGTTGGACCTAGATTCCAATCTAGTAGTACGCTTAAATTCATGTAGTTTGGCCGCCAGGGAAAAAAGCTCGTAAGAGCAGTTGCCAAAAAATATTTGTAGAAATGACATGACAGAGGGAAGCCACGTAAGTTGTAAGTGTAATCCTTACTAGGTGGCCCGTACAATGTTCGACAGAAACGCAACACGTTCTATTGACAAGCATGCATTATGCTTGTTAATGGTTATGGTTACGAGATTAAAAACGAATTTGTCAATAAAATATGCGCAAAATAGAGAAAATCGTTTTCTATCACACGTTTTTATATTACTCAAGAATAGCTAATATTTCGCGTGAATAAACCTTATCTTCACAGCCACGAAAAACGGCAAGGGATCTTTTGCCAATAATCTCATTAAAAAAAATTAGAATAGAATAATCTATTCTAAATTTTTTTTTTAAATAAGAATCACACAAACATATAAACGAAAAGTCGAAAACAGAAAAAAAAACAAAACAAAAAAACAATGCATGGAATATGTATGTAGATATTGGGTTAGAAGAAAAGGCCGTAGCGATTTTCATGAAGAGGTGTTTGAACACGTGATTTTGTTTCACACATATGCGACATAGATTTTTAAATATTATGTAAAGGGATATTTCAATAGACTTTGACTATTATTTCTGTGTGGATAGTGAATCTTAAATGTCTTTACGGACCATCATACTCTTCATGTTTGTTATATTGAAAAATGTCTCAATCATGATACTTTCTGATCTTGCAGTTGCTGAAAATTTGTGAGTATAACATTGAGGAAGATACTGGTGCGAATAACAAAACAAACATCTATCTATCTATCTATCTATCTATCTATCTATCTATCTATCTATCTACTGCATTTTGATATCTATCTATCTATCTATCTATCTATCTACTGTATTTTGATATCTATCTATCTATCTATCTATCTATCTATCTATCTATCTATCTATCTATCTATCTATCTCGTGTGAATTTTTGAGATGAGGAATTATTATTATTATTATTATTATTATACATTTTGTTATTCGGGTAGCCATGCTCAGATTGACAGTTATACTGAAAACGTTTCGATCTTTGTACACCCTACAGGCTAAATGTTCATGCTGTTCCGAATAGTAATTTCTTAAAGTAAAGTCTAAAATTTCAATACGTTGTGCCTTACATTATATATATATATATACCTAGACATCACTTTAGATTTAAGAAATGATACTGTTTCCCCTTATAAGAAAGATAACCAGGACCCCCAATATTTAAATGTAAAATCTAACCACCCAGCGCATATCATAAGACATATTTCAAAAAGTATCAGCCCTAGACTTTCTACCAACTCATCGAATAAAGACATCTTCGATACTAATAAATCAATTTATGAGCAAGCTCTAGTTAAAAGTGACCACAAAGACAAGTTAGAATATATTGACATAAATAATAACACTGAAACCCAAAATAGACATAAGAGTAGAAATAGAAATATTTTGTGATTTAACCTTCCGTTTAACTTATCTGTAAGAATTAAAATTGGCAAAATATTTTTCAACCTATTGGAACAAAATTTCCCCAAGAAAACAAAATGTTTAATAAAAATAACGTCAAACTTAGTTACTGCTGCATGCCAAACGTAGCGACGTTAATTAGCGGTTTTAATAAGAAAAAAACTAAAGACAATCCACAGTTGTAATTGTAGAAATCTGTCCCCTACAGGGAAAATGTCAACAGGAGTGCGTGGTTTACCCGGTTAAAATTTACAAGGACATAGATGACTGCAATAACGAACATAAACCCTAAAGTGTATATAGGAGCTACTCAGGACATATTTAAAAAAATATTATAATCGTACTAGTAGTTTTAACAATGAAAAAAACAAAC